ACTACAGCATGTCTATAAAGCTGAACCATTAGAACCATTAATACAAAAGCAACTTTGTTTGAAAGTGCTTTATAAATAAAGTTAATAATAATAATAATAATAATAATAATATCATCACCATCATCATTATTATTATTATTACTATTATTACTGTAAAGTACATAAGTTGAGAGACTATCAAAATAAAAACAGGAAGCCTACTCACTGACTAAGATAAAAACTGGACAGAAAAAGTAAAAACTCAGACAAAAACTGACTAAACACGGGAAACCTAACAGAAACACAGACTAGGCACAAGGAACATATAGTAGAAGAAAAGGAAAAACTTGAGAATAACAAACAAAGACAACTATGAATACTAAATCACAACAGAGCGGAGGTAAAAAGGCTAAAGCTGGATAAGCTGGGTAAAAAACCCAGAATTATGATACAAGTGAGTTTCTGATTTTAAGAAATAGATGTTAGTGACACATACAAACTAAAAAGCTATGCAGCTACATCTAATCTAGCTGCATAGTGAGTATTAAGCTGCATAGCTAGATTAGACTGCCATCAGATAGATTAGACTGCCATCAGATAGAGGGAATAATAGAAGTCACATGACCAAAAGAGAAAGTGAAACAGCATTTATAGATCCAAACTCATACTTGAAAGTCATACAAATCCATCAGCTGAAACAAAACCAAGACACACCAACTTCACAGCACAGTTGGACATTCAGGTATGGTAACACTGTGTTAATAATCCAATGCAAGAAATACATTTATTAAATTATTAAATTGACTGGACTGGGTCATCTCTACCATTTGGTTCAGATGTGTCAAGTTAAAAGAATTTAGTTTCTAGAAGAATTTAAATAATTTACTGTTTTTTAAATTTACTGTCTTTTCTGTTTGTTTAATTCACAATTAGTTGATGACAAAAAAAAACATGGAGAAAATTAAAAATGTCTTTTGGGGTAAGCATTTTTTTTCATATCATATTCATTGTTGGTGGTTTCCTTGCCACCCTTTGCCGTTAATATATTGTCATACTTGTGAAGCCCTCAAGGCTTTCAAGTGTAATATTGAGCTACATGAATAAAACTAGCTTGACTTCACTCAACTGTTTAGAAATGAGGAAATGCTGGAGACTCAAGTGATCTTGATCTGAATTTGTTATAGATGTTAAATTATTTTACAGTGGAATAGTTACTATGATGTCCTTTGATTTGAAAGTGGCAAAAAGTAACATTATATTTGACTTGAAGAAAAAAATATGCAAAAGTGTTGCTAACATGTTTTTACTTTGTCATACTTCAATTGCAGGAAATCGTTCATCTTCTCGTAAGATATTTAAATTATGATGCAAAATTATTTAGTGCTGAAGACAAAACTTGAGGCTGTTACACACTGGACAAGTAAAATCCGTGCAAATATTTCCTGGGTCACAAATATTTTTCGGACTCATCTGTTCTTCACGCAGCTGTTCACACTGACAGTTTGAGCTAGGGCTGAACGATATATCGCATTTGCGATAATATCGCGACATGATCAAGTGCAATTTTCTAACCGCAAAGGCTGCGATTATACTCTGGACATGTCCAAATTCATGGGCTGCATCCTCCTGAGGCCGCATTTGTAGACCGATTACGTCACAGCGACGCGCCGAAGGCTGTCCAAATTACTACCATATCCCAGAATTCATAGCGCGGCCCAGCCAAACTCCAGTTTCCAGCAATGGCGGCCGCTACTAAGTTTTAAAATTACTCATACTAATCTTTCTGGGTCACAAAATAAACTTTTAACATATTTTCAGGCGAGAAAGTAGTTGTGTAAACATCAAATATCTGCTCGGTTTATCAAGATATCCCATATTTGCAAAAGTGCTTCGACGTTTTCAGAGGCGTCTGCTACCCACCAGCTCGACAGCTAGCCGGGAGCTCGAGGGTTACTGATGCGGCCGAGAACGGCACAACTCCCGGCACATCATTTTCAGATCACCGCGGAGTTTCGCTGCTCGGGTTAAACGTAATATATAAGTCACTTAGACAACCTAAAAATGTTATTGTTGGGCTTTTTTCAGTGTTTTGTTTGTTCGTGAGTAAATCGGTTTGGCTGAGATTAAAGTTATTAGATTAGATAAAATAAAACTTTATTAATCCCCCGGGTGGGTTCCTCCTTGGTTTTCACACAGCTGACTAAACGTCAAACAGAAAACTGATTAAACAGAAGTATGAGACAGTCGAGAATTTACACCAGTGTCTGGTTATATTTATAAGACGGGCCAAAAAAAAAGGAATAGACTATAAAAAAAAGAAAAAAAGAAAAGAAGAAAAAAAAAAACAGAGTACAGAGCCAGAGCATTTATTAAACTCCACCGAGACAGCGGCGACGCTAATCAACTGCACCTTTTATGTAATTTTCAACGCCATTGTACGATCATTTTAAAGGGTGTTTGTACACAGTGGTGTCCTTGTACAGCACTTTATGCTCAGATGTTTGTAAGCTAAAAATAAACTATTGTGTATGTTCAAATATACTGTTGTGATTGAAGAAGTTAAATAAAAATGTCAGTCATCAATTCATGCATCACCTCATGTCATCATAACAGAGGTCTGTCTTCCAGGAAAGAACAGTTTAAAATTAATGTAATATAGTATTGGCCATACTATATGATGTATTGCTTGTCTTTGTTTAATAATACAGAAGACAAAGACCTTAAAAAATAATCGCATGATCGCAATCGCAATATTGGGGCAAAAAATCGCAATTAGATTATTTTCCATAATCGTTCAGCCCTAGTTTGAGCTGAAGAATTCCAGGAAGTTTAAAAAAAAAAGGTTTCTGTAATGTAACTTTAGATGAGGTGGGATTGATTAGAGGCAGAGCAACTTTACTGAAATCCCGAGTAAATAGTGGAATTAATTCTTTGTCCTATTTTTCAGATCCAAATACCTGATCAGGCCACTGGGTTTGACAACAACTGTGATCTTAACCCACATGGCACTCGTACTGAATACACAGATGGAAATAGTCACACGATATTATTTATCTTGGACACACAGTTACACGATGCTCTGGTTCAGTCGGCTCTGTGAAATGATTTCTCTGCCTCCTCAGATCTGGTCCCAACTCTACCAACAACACCTCAAACTGTCCCACTGACATCCTGAACTATGTACGAACACACAGCTTCAGCTCCTGGATCCAGTCATGAAATTCTCCCTGCTGCTGCTCTCTTAGTTTCCTACTTTTCTGAGCTTGTCATTGTTTGAAGTCGGCTTCATTTTTAGTTTTCACAGTTCGCTTATTGAGGAGGAATTGTCCTCAAAAGCACAACGTGTTCAGTGTGTAACAGCCTTAACACATAATGATGTGTAGTTGCTCTTCCAGTGTGACTCATACAATTAACATTTTCCATTTACAGTGTTAGAGGTAGAAGCAAGGAGTATACCATGGGGGTGAGTATTAAGGGTTACTGCTGAGGTTACAATGCCACAGAAATTCACAGTTTCACATGGTGATGCAGAAATCTATATTTGGTAATTTCATGCTGCTAAAATTGCAGGGAGTAGAACACAGATGTCAGTCTGTCTCAGTAGTACACCCCTTGAAGGGTTTTGTTTGTTTATTTTATTAATTGGTGTTTGTTCATATTAGTATTGTAAAATGTTAAACTGTAAGTGTAAACTGAATGCTGTTGTAATTTTCTGAATGAACAGTGAAAGAGAGCGAGCTCTGCAGCTTGTCAGAGATTACAAGCCTCACAAAGATGTCCAGCATCTCCGAATTCTGCTTTATGGACCACCAGGTGCTGGAAAGTCCAGCTTCATCAACTCTGTGGACAGTGCTTTAAGAGGCAAAATCGCAACTCGA